CTGTTTGTGGAGAAGACGAACGTAATGAGAGAGTGATGCATCGTCCGTCACTTGTGCTGACTGCCCGTGCCCTGAGCTGATCCTGCTGGGCACGTCCGAGGCAACGGGCTGCTGTGACTCCTGATTTCGAAGGCGAGTCAGACGTTTGCCTCGGAGACGTGGGCACGGGGAAACCCTGCTGTGTTGTTTGCTAGGATTGCATCCAGCGCGCAACAGGCGGCAGCGCTGGGAGGAGAGTTCAAGCAGCGAACTGCCGCATCGTTGCAGCAGGCACGGCGGGCTGAGTCGGGCTGTTGAGCGGGGTGTCTGCTGAGCCAGAGTTGCCTGCGCGTGTCTTAGGGCCGGTATTTGATTGCTGGGTGTCTCTCGGCCCTTTGGGGAATGGTACTGCTAGCACAGACCGTACTCTTAATGAAGTGATCTCCCGCTGTTCCTTCGTGGGCAGGTACTGGGAGAGTGGTGCCTTTTTGCTTGTAGGACCACCTCAGTCTGAAACTGAGACCTCTTCCTGGCCTGCCTGATGTCTTCGGGCTGCTACACTCTGCTCCAGGTCAGACGGGTCGAAATAAACCACGGTTTGTATGCTGCACAGCTGGGCCCCATGCTCTGGGTTCTTCTCCAGGCCCTCCCTTTGATTATAGTCTTCTATTTCCCCAGCTGTAGTGTGGCAATAACACCCTTACCCTTGCTGGGGGAGTATTGAGGTTGAAGGTTTGTTGTTAATCAAGGTAAGAGCCTCTGAACAAATGTGCAACGTTATCACCTATTGTCATCATTTCTCATACAAACTCTTGAGCCTTTTGTTGTTGTTGGCTCCCCACAGTGCGACTAGATAACGTAATCTCTCATCAGCCTTCTCCACCAGCTCCTTCGGTTGCTATTATCAGGACCCGGCTTGTGACATTGCTGCAGCCCCCTGGGGACGGCGGTGACATGACTACAGTGGCTTAAACGGGATGATTACAGAGGGCTCCTACTTACACACGCTCGCCTTGCCTGAGCTCGGTGCCTCTAAACACCGCCGGCCCAGAAGCGCGCTCACGGTGACCTGTGGCTGCCAACGCTTGATTTGAGCGGTGGCGTGTGTCTTTCTGGTCATCGGTTTGTCGCTTTGCACTTCAGCCATTTCGGTGCTGCCGTGCTCCTGCCCCTCCAGTTCCTGAGAGGTTTGATAGATGGAGATGAGAATCTGAGCTGGCGTCTTTCTCTTGCTCCTCCCATGTGGATCAATAAGACACGGCCCAGGTCTGAGGAAAGTGCAGCCAAAGAGACTAAAACACTTTCTGATGAATCTCATTGCCCTCCAGGGACTGTATGCCAGAGCAAAGCCCAGCGTGTGCGTGCGGATGCTGCTCTGCCTTCTGGGCTGTCCCGTAGCTGCTGGGCTGTGGGTTACACCATCGCGTAGCTGGTGGGCTGTGGGTTACGCCATCCCACAGCCCAGGATTTCGGAGGAGGATGAGCCAGGAAGGACAAACGTTTGCAACACTGCTGACCTTTACTATGTGTTCTGGTAGATTTGTTTGCTGCTTTGTTATGATTTGGGTGCTCACTTGTAACTCCGCAACACCCCAAGGACCGAGATGTGTTCGTGGGTTGCGCTGCAGTTGGGCTGGTGGATTAGTAGGTGGTGTAAAAAATCCGTCAGGCCTTGGCTACCGCCCTTTCCCAGGAGGAGACACAAGAGAACGGCTGTGAATCTCCCGGAGAAGAGCAAGAAAAGCAATATTGAAATTAGTGGAGAGTGGAGAGCTGTTTCTTCCCTGCCGGCAGTGCCCTCGGCAGCGCCTGCTCAACTGAGCTGAGGTCTTGGCTGGCATCCCCTGGGGACGGGAGGAGGTTTGGCTGCGCCTAAAGTCCTGCTCTTCCCAGAGGGCAGGGCAGGAGAGCCCGAGGTAGGTGTCTAAGTCAACCCCTCGAGAGCCCGCAGCAGGTTTGGTTAGATGTCACCCTGCATTTCTCTGTGGCGAGCTGCTTAGGGTCCTCTTTGCAGCGCTGATGGAGGGGAGGGGGTAGTTCGGTACCGGTATTTTGGGGTTGATTCACAGGAGGTTTTAAACGGAAGACTAGGTTGAGAAAAATTGGGCTATTATCCACCCTGAAATGAAGACGTTCACTTCAGGCATGTCTCTGGCCCCCTCTCAAGCTTAGGGACATGGGGACATCTGCTCTAGTCTCTCTTTTGAACGTGATGCCTTCGGTTCTGGCACATGAGGATTTTGGGGAGGGGGAAGGGGAGGGGCTGTCACTTTTGCACCGAGGCTGGGTCCTGTTTCCTGCTCCCTGTCTTAAACATACGCTGGCCTCGGGAACGGCCTCACCTTCACAGCGGGGAGGAGAAGTGACTAATCGGGGGTCCGTCTGGTCGGCTAATGGGGCGACGCGCTCGTCGGGACCCTCTGCAGCTGGCCGGGGACACTGGCCCTGGCTGCTGATGGCGAGGGGGGCGATTGAACCTGGCAGCCGCCGGCTTATCCCATGTCTGCATCCGGGAAGACAGAGGCATTAGCTCAGGCAGTTGCGGCTTCTTCCCGAAGGAATGCGTCACGTTGCCATCTGTCCTTGTTTAACGTAACGTGCTGGCTGCCGAGCCAGGCAGCAGAGAAGGAACAGGCTTTGGCACCTTCTTTTTGATTTGCGGCTTTCCCTGCAGCGCTTGTTTTACTTCACGTTCAAGACTGCCTTTGCTTCCCACCGTGGTAGGTGGTTGGGTTTGGTTTTGGTTGGGTTTTTTTTGTTTGGTTTGAGTTTTTTTTGCTGTTGTGCAATGGTGGTTTTTAGCAACGAATAGCACCTGCGACGGATTCGAGCAGCCTGACCAAAGGAGAATTAAATCAACTTATGTGCGGCAAATATTCTTGAAGAGAATGTCTGCCTTCCTCCCCAGAAGGCGGCCTGTGCACAGCATCGCGTAGGCTTTGCTTTGCCCTCCAGCTCACGCAGAGGAGCTGGAGCTGAAGGCTCCTCGGGTCACCGTGTGCGTCTGGCTGAGGGGCTGCCAAAGCCTGGGGTATTGTTTCGAGCTGGATGCGAGGCCTCCCTTTTTGGGAAGGTTTCTAGGAATAGAGGGCCATCCATACTGTTAGGCCGGGATTGAAGCTTCTCGGAGATGACCGCTCTCCGGATTTAGCGGTGGTGGCAGAGGACGTTGTTTCTTCGAGCAACCTGCCTGCTTCTGGCAGAGGCTGTGTGCTCCCCCTGCCAGCGAGCTGCTGAGATGGAAGGGAAAGCGCTTTGCCTCTGATCACTGAGTTAACGTGGAACGGCTCTGCCACTGCCCTCCCGTCAGGGGGGACAGCCCCGGGCAGAGCAGCGGACGCGCGGGGAAGCGTCCTGAGCTGACACAACCAGATTTCGGTTCGTCGGAGCCCTGACAGTGTCCCTTCTCCCTGAGTGCCATAAGTTGACGCAAGGGAGAGCCCGCGTGGTCTTGCTCTGCCAGCAGGTACCTACTGCGGGTGTTGCTTTGCTGCGGAGGCGGGATGGACTTGGCACCTCTCGGGACTGGCTTGGGTGGTGATTAACTCGCTCTGCCGCCGAGCGTGGGAGCCAAAGCCGAAACGCCGTAGTGCCCTTCACACAAGAGACTGCAGGGACTTGCCTGTGCTGGGTGAAGATGCAGTTAAGAGGCGGGGAGGAGCATCAGCCAAAAGCCCTTTAGTTGTTGACGGGTTTTATTTTCGAGGTGGTGTCATATGGTCTGGAAATGGCACTTTGAACGTGGGCTGGGCAGCGTCTCTTAACCCTTTGGGATAGTCTAGACCCACTTGTGTGCGGAGCTGCAGGGTTTGATTGGGATTTAACAGAGAAGAGGCTGTGGCACGTGGGGATCAGCGCAGGAGAGGATTTACCCAGCCCTTGGTGCCTGGGTGTATTTGACGCTGTGCTGCCGGTTCAGCTTGGTGCAAGTGTTTGGACGCACGGTGCGTTCCTCTGGTGCCGGAGGAGAGATGTGGGTGAATACCAAGAGGGTGTAGCAGCAGTTGGTGGGAACCCCCTGTGGCATCGACCCTTGGGACGCCTGTGAACCTATTGATTTTCAAGTCAGACGCCATCAGTAGGTTTCAGAGTTATCAGTGAGGTGTTCTGCTGGTAGCCGTGGGCTATTTTGGTCCCTGTAGCTATTTTGGTCCCTACTTGGGTAAGAACTGAGGCAGCAGTCGGTACTCCCTAGGTCTGAGCTGCAGGCTGCTCGGATGCTCGACTCTGAGCTCGGGTGAGACCACGAGGTCTGTGCAACCCCCGCCGTGCCCGGGGAGCCGGGCTGCCCTGCTCCGGCAGCAGCTGGACGCGGGCAGAGCTGGGCCCTGGCGGTGGTTCCTCGCTTCCCCTTCCTTCTCCCCAGTGCAGGGGCTCTGCCTGACCCCCGCAGCACTCCCGAGCCCTGCTCCCGAAGCTGCCCAAGTCTTCTCCAACCCAGAGCTCCGCTTTGCTGGTTTCCAGCCTGGCGATGGCCGAGATGTCTTGTGGGTGCTGCGGGTCCGTGTCCCGGAGTGAGGAGCTTTGTCCCGGCACTGACTGCAGCTGCAAACTTCAGCACTGACCTAGACTCACTTTTTTTCCACCAATTCTTCCTCTGTTTATCCTTCTTAATTATTGATGTGGTTTGTTTTTTTTTTCCCCGGTCCTCTTTATGCTGTTAAATCTCTGCCTCGGAGCAGCCTGGCAATGTCCAGCCTGGGGAGAGCCCGTAACTCCGCTGACGGATGGTGCCGGGAGCGAGGAAGGGAGGAAGGGGAGCGGAGATGTGCTGTCGGCAGCCCCCGTAAAGGGGAAACGCGATGAGCTGGTAGACCCAAGCGGCGTAAAACGTCGGCACATTAGCCGTACGCGGCTGCGGTACCTCCTCCAAACCAGAGTATTTCTGTTTGCAGACTTTGCTGGCGTGGGGCAGGCATCCATCACAGATCCAGGTGTTGAAATGCAGATGTGCGAAAGCGCTGGATAAAATTAGGCTTGGCTAACACGTTTTTTTGTTGTTTTTTTTTTTTCTTTTGCAGGAACGCCAAGGCCGTGTCAAGTAAAAAAGGCCATTCCTCCCCCAGAGACTGCAGCAGAGGTTGCATCCCAGCTATCTTTCTGAGAGCGAAAGAAGGAGCAAAAAAATATCCCAGAGAGAATTAGGACTTTTTTTTTTTTTTCTTAATTTCATTGACTTCAAAAAGACTCTTACAAACTTGCAGTTTAAAAAAAAAAAGTATTGGAATTTCACAAGACATAGGACTTAAAAAAAAAAATGTTAAAAAAAACAAAAACAACAAAAAAATCCCTTCTAGGTAGAGTATAGCTAAAAACTGTCCCCTTTCTTTTGGCTTTGGTTGTGATTTCGGAGCATACGCTTTGTTTTTTGTCTTTTTACTCTGTTTTTTTCGGATTCTAAAGTCCGTAAGTGGCATATGCCTTTTTTTTTTTTTTTTTTTTCTTCCCCCGCGTTCTCTAATTTTTAAACCTCGCCGCTTCCCTTCCTTCCACCCCCTCGTGCCTCCTTCCCCTGGTTTTGACATTTGCACTTGGAACACCGAGTTGTAACATCCACCACGGAAAGTGGAGTAACTGGGTTGTTGGTTGTTTGTTTTTTGGGTTTGGTTTTTTTTTTGGGTTTTTTTTTTTTTTTCCTCCCCCTCCCACCCCCCATCCCCACCTGGAAGAGGAGGAATCCTACGAGGAAGTTGGGGTTTTGGCCTAAGAAGAATTGAACAGAAATTTGTCCACGAGGTTGTGTCTTAAAAGGTGGTTCATTTTTTCTCTGACCCTTTTGTTACTCAAAAGTCAAGTACTAGGAGTCCTAAGAAATGTTCTGTTCTTGTGCATTATACGGATTTACAGATTAAGTCTGGATTAATTTGATTTTTTGAAAGCTGAGAACAGTGGTAAAAACTCGTTTTGTTTACAGGAAAATGAATTTTGGACAAAAAAAAAAAAACAAAACAAAACAAAAAAAAGAGGAAATATTGTAAAATGTGTAGTGAATATGTTTCTTCAGTTTCTTGTTAAGCCAATGAGGAATGGGCGTTGCCTTTCTTTTCACCATTAATCACTTCTCAATAATAAACGTGAGATCCTGTTGAGCATCACTGTTGTCTGCCGCTCCCTTTTCGGCGCTGCCCGCTCCGTGCCGTAGCGAGGATGCGCCGCACCTCGTCCTTTTCCCCTCTGCGCGCCGTCTCGGGGCTTCGCTGCTGTATTAATACCTTAAAACAACATCCGGAGTGTGGTTTCTCCCCGGATTTGAAGCAGGGTGGTGTCGCCCAGCTCCGGGCATCCCCAACTCAGCCCTGGCACGGCACCGGCGCTTGTTCCCAGCACGCTGGGGTTGGGTTTTGCTCCTTGAGGTGGGAAGGTGTCCTGCGGTGTGGGCTACCACCGGCCTCTCCCCGGCCAGCCCTCCCCAGGGCAAGCGGGGCAGCGCCCGGCCGGCCTCATTCTTCAGGATTCGTTCCAGTTTTTTGGGTAAATTGGGGATTATCCGGCTCCTTCCAGGTGCGCGAATAGCATCCCAAATGATCTCCCCTGGGGAAAACTGCTCGAGGTTGAGAAATCAAAAAAATCCGTGTTTTCTTGTTTTGGCAGTTCAGAGGGAAGAAAAGAGCCGCAAACGAACGTCTGAGCCGGTAACAGTGCTTTAATTGTCAATATTTAACAGGTTGCTGTCAAGGAAAATGTTGAAAATATCACAATTATTATTAAATCACGCTGGGAAGCATCTGGAACCAGCCAGCTGCCGCCTCCGCTCTTCTCACCTCGGGGGGGGGAACATCAGCCTGGTGAGCTGCGCTTTCCCATCACCTGCTCCCGCACCGCGCGGGATGGGAAATACACACCCGTACGCGCTCACCGAAAAGTGTGCTTGATTGTTGTTATTTTTTTTATATATATAGTTAATAATTCTTGCTTCTGAAAAGCAAACAAAAACCCAACCCAGCTCCGAATAACCCGAACCGTGTCGTCTCAGGACCCAGGCTGCGTCCTCAGGGGAGTTCGGGCTGGTGTTTCTGCAGGTGTCAAAAGCAGTTTTGTGGCCGTTTGCGTTTTGTTGGGATATTTTCCTTGTCTTCTCCAAAAGAATTTCTGTCCTCTTAACACGTTGATGGCTCTGGCCTCTCTGTTTGCCTCCAAGCTGGCCGAAACCCCAAATTCCTTGCTGGTGTCCTCATGGGTTTTCAGAGGGAGCGTAAAACCCGCGTTGTTCGCGAAGCTGGAGGAAATGAGGGCGGAAAGCTTGACTTTGTGAAAGGCCCAAATTAAACAATTTGTCTTCTGAGAGAATCTTGGTTGTGAGCAACAAAACGAGCCGGAGAAAGGGGGTTTTCTGGCGGGCCTGGCAGGCGGCGGCGCGTTGGGTTTCCCTGTTGGTCGGCCGCGGTGTCTTCGAGCAACGACCCGAGAGAGATGCGGGGGGAGCAGAAAGGTGCGATTTGAAATCCACAGGGCTTGAGGTGCGGGTACAGCACCTGCCGGGATTATTACGTAAGAAAAAAATAACTTTATTTGCAGATCGTATCCATGTCCTCTAACCTGGGATGGTCCCACGCTGGTGTCACGTGCTGCTGCTTAAATTTCCCTTCGTGTTTAGCTGCAAGAGCGCTAAAATGCTCTTCCTCTCCCCTCTCCTTTCTTCCTCTCCCCTCTCCTTTCTTCCTCTCCCCTCTCCTTTCTTCCTCTCCCCTCTCCTTTCTTCCTCTCCCCTCTTTTAAGACAAAGCAGGTGAATTGCTGGGACATCACATTCCGGATACCTGTGTTCCCCGTGGGATTTATTCCGCAGCACCTTCAACCTCGGCATCACTTCCATGGGAACGCGCCGCCTCCGGGGCTGTGCGTGGGGGGCGTCAGTCCAACCTCTCTGGGGACCTGAAACAGCCTTGTTTCGCCCTAAACTGGAGAGGAGAGAGAAAAATAAGTAGTTTCGTACATCTCTGGCTGACTGCGCTCCTCCTCCGCTCTCTGGGAGACATGTGGGGCTTCCGGAGGGGAACAGAAGGGATAACACCAAAACCGGGCTGGACGTTAAATATTAGGAGGGGTTTTTTTTGAAGGAAGAGGCCCAGTGAATGTCCCGGAGGGTAGAAATAGTCCTGGGAAACAGAGATAGCACGGATGTGGGGGGAAAAAAGTGGATATTTTCTGTGTGACTTCGAAGTAACTGCTTCTGCTGACCCTCCCGAGGATGACCGCGGGGCAGGACGAGCAGGGAACCATTTCCCTGCGGACCCAGTCCAGTTCCGGTCTAAACTGGGACAAAACTTTCCAGTGCTCCTGAGGAGGCTGCGGTGTGCCTGCGTGTCGAAGACTTCAGGATACAGGCAAAAAAAAAAAACCCACCTCAGCCCTTCCATCGTTCTCACTGGACGCCGTCTCCCCTTGAGCGTGGCCGATGTGAGAGCCAAAAGGTATTTATTACTGCTATTTTTTT